GCAGCCAGAGCAGACAGGAAGTGCAAGGTCTCTTAATAAAACAATGTGTACCGTATTCTTCATGGAAAAATAAGACATCCCCTGAAAATAAGCCCTAGCTCATCTTTGGGAGCAAAAATTAATAAAAGACACTGTCTTATTTTCGGGGAAACGGTAATATCAGAGGTAAATCACACTGGTATTTACGTAGAATTTTTAATAAGAGCAGAGAATGAGTGTGGGAGATAGGAGCTGGAATATTAGCGTTGAGATCAGCACAGAGCCCAGCTTGATCAAGTACTCGTTGTGTACATTTGAACCAACCACTGAGTAAACCGCGTTTTACTCATCTATAGCTCTGTGGCTGGTAAGACTATTTACTTCCTGTTCTACATGTCAAGTCTGTCCAGCTCACAGCGACCCCACAGAACGAAACACTGCCTGGCCGGCTTTTTCCTCACAATTAGTGTTTGAGCCATTGTTTGGAGGCACCATGGGGGTACCATCCACATCTAGGAAGGAGATAACAGCCATGATGGCGACTTCATAGATGTGGAAAATGGTATCTCCCTTGTAGGGTGGTTTGAGAATTAAGTGAGTTAACACCTGTAAAGATTCCGAACAGGGGTGGAGCCTATCTGACCTAAGGCCTGAGAAATCAATGTCAGCTAACATCACAGGCCCCTCCAAAGAGAAGCCGTTCCAGCCATCACATTCAACCCCAATGCATTGCCATCAAGTAGATCCAGGCGAAGCCATCATACACAACAGCGCAGAGTTGTCCCTGTGGGTTTCTGAGGCTTTAACTCTATGGGAACAGAAAGCCTCGTCTGTCTCCAGAGGAGTGGCTGGTGAGTTCAAGCTGCTGGCTTTGTGATTAACAGCTCAAGGTGTGAGCTAATGAAATGTTCGAGGGGGAGGGAGGAAGGGAAATACAGAGCTGATAACAAGGGCTCAGTAGAAAGTGAATGTCTGGTAAAGAATGAAGGCAACATGTACAGACATGCCTGATGCAATCGATGGATGGACTCTAACAAGAGTTATAAGAGTCCCCGATAAAATGATCTTTTAATAAATGAAAAGCTGCTGAACATCTCCATCAGGGAACATGAATCAGGGCCACTGTGTGATGCCTTTTCACAGCCCCTCGGAGAGCTGTAATAACCCAGAGGAGTAACAAGTGTGAACTTAGAGCTGGAGGCACCCCCAGAGGTCACCTCTGACTACAATCAAGCCGAGGAAGCCCAAAGGGCAGCACTGACCTCAAAGTGCAGGGCAGGCAGGAACAGCGCAGCGTGACAAAAGGAAATGGACCCACGAAACTGATGACACGCGGTGGGAATCACAGCCCACATCACAGAACAATCTATGAATTTGGAATGTTAACAAAATGCTTTTTTTTAATAATTTTATTGGGGGCTCATACAGCTCTTATCACAATACATACATGCATCCATTGTGTTAAGCACATTTGTACACTTGTTGCCATCATTTTCAAAACATTTTCTTTCTACTTGAGCCCTTGGTATCAGCTCCTCAATTTTTTTCTCCTCATTCCCCCAGTCCCCTCCCTCCCGAACCCCTGATAATTTATAAATCATCATTTTTACATGCCTTACACTGACAACTAAATGCTTTGTAAACTTTCTCCTAAACCACAGTACATTATTGGAACAAACTGAAATCAATCAATCAATGTTTGACCAGTATGGCCTGTGAAACAAAACTCACTGCCATTGGGTCAGTGCCCACTCGTCGCCGTGGTCTAGGGTAGTATCGAATGGCCCCTGAGTTTCCACGACTGAAACTCTTTACAGGAGTCGGAAGCTTCTCTGTTGGAGCAGCTGGTGGTTTCGAACTTCCAATCTTTCAGATTGCAGTCCACTGAGTAACCAGGGCTCCTGTCAGTGATACCATAAATATCCAAATGGCCCTGGCAGAAAAAATGGTTCCTCAGCCCTGGTTTAGAGCAGTGCTAATGAAGGGACAGCTGTAATTGGACACACTGAGTGTACAGTGTGCCATCCGTACACATATGTGCCTGGTGTTTGCAAACGTGGAACTGCATCAGAGGAGCCAGGAAGCCATACAAGGGGACTTTTAAAAGTTTGTGGGGGAAATGGAATATTTCTATAAACTTCGTGAAGCCCTCTCATACATACAGATACCATAATTATAGCAGTCATGATATCAGGTGGGACTGTCAAAAGCAGGAGTATAAATGGAAAGAGGAAGGGGCAGTGACAACCTCTCTCAACCCTGTTTTCTCATCTGGAAAACAAGGGTGATGTCACCTACCACATAGGGTAGTTAGGACTAAATGAGATACTGTACTTAATACACTTAGATGGGGAAAAATGAGTTGATACCAAGGGCTCACGTAGAAAGAAAATGCTTTGAAAATGATTATGGCAGCATACGTGCAAATGTGCTTGACACAATGGATGAATGTATGGGTTGTGATAAAAGATATAAGAGCCCCAATAAAAGTATTTAATTTAAGA